TACCAACAAGTTGAACGCATCGTCGGCGATATCCTTCAGGATATGCGCAACTTTTTCAGGTTCAGACATATTTTCGTCAGCTTGGCGGCATAGTGAAAGGACAGCCTGAATATAACCGATGTAGGGCTCCGTGGAAGATTGTGCGTGAGTCGACAACTCATTTTTCGCAGCTTCACGACGACCAGAGATGTTCCCAAAAAGCTCACGGTTCTTTGCCTTGAAGCTGTCCCAGCTTGTTATTTCATGCTCGTGGTTATCAAACCAAACACGAGGGGTTCCGTCGAGATAAAATATGATGTTTGCGAGCATAAGAGTGGGATCCCACCTGTAAGTGGCGCTGACGCGTTCGTAGAGGCGTAGCCACTAGTTGACGTCGGAACCCTCGCTGCCCGAGAACACGTCGGGGTCTGAGCGCGGGAAGCGTCACGAAAGTTGTCGCGGGCGCTGGGTTGATAGGTCGGGCAGAAGGGGGAGCGACCGGAGAGGATGTAGCTGAGTCTTGAGTCGTCATGTAAGCCGCGAGGGAGCGTCCGCTTCGGAGTTCCGTGGCGAGGACGGGGATCGCACAACTCCACCAAATATGTTACGGGAAGGAGACTGACTCAGAGGGGTAGTCACCGATGTATTTACAGCCGGTTAGGCGAGCAGCGCCAGCCACACAGATTAGCTCGTGTCAGTCTATCTGTTTTCTCTTCTTCAGCTCTATGCACTGGCACGTAGCAATATTATCAAAACCTGCAGAGCAGTTATATTAAAGCTCAAGAATGATGGTGACGATCTCTGAAGGAGAGGTTGGATGGAGGAACAGAGTGTTGGTCATATTAAAATCCATGAAATGATTGATAATACTGGAATCAACAGGGCAATCGAACTGTTCCGCAGTCACGAAATATCGGTTGAATTCATTAGCTAGGTCTTCTCCTGTTACAGTCTTGTCACCTGAACTAATTTGAGTGTGTTACAACTTTTTCACTGACGCAGATCCTTGGCGGTACACCATGTTTTTCATGGGTCAAAATAAATTTGGGGAAATTTGTTTAAGTAGAACTGCTTTCTGGCGTTTTTAATGTCCGCAGTTAAACAGTCTCTGAATTTTTTGTATTCTTTCTAAACTTCGGGATCTCTGCTATGTAAAAACTCATTGAAAAGTTCATTGCGCTTAGAAACACGTCTTAAGAGAGAACGGGTCATCAGAGGCTTCTTGGCTTTTTTGCACTTCCGTTGTACTGTTACTGGAAACGCACAATCATAAAGTTAAATTATTTTGCTTAAAAAGACGTCATATTGCGAATTAGGCTCAAACAGTGCCTCTTGTACCAGAACAGCTTTGTAGTTATTCGATAACCTGTAACGAGATGCTCCGATAGCCTTTGCACGTATGAAAAAGACAGGTATTTTACCTCGGTCCTGTGTTTAGCATTATTTCTTCAATGTAAAACAGCATGTCAACTTCTTTAATCCAACATGTGTGTTGAATGTGCATAAACTCTTCGTTCGTGAGAGTTTGTGAAAATGCCGCGACTGAGGCTATTTTATGCCTCGGGCCGGTTTTGAAGAAAAACGCAGAAATGACCAAACTAATAAATTTCTTCGGAGCTAATTTTTTCAGCCTTAATGTGGATCATGTTTCAATATTTTGTAGAAGGCTGCACAGTTGCTCAAACTGGCAATTTATAGTGTAAGGAGCTTTTGACGCTGATTAAGCAAAGACGAGCAAGCTCGCACTATTCCTTCATGCATTCACCTTGAACGGCTTGAAGGTGGAAATCACCTATTTCTTGCCATTTCATTGCAATCTTTCTCCTCCCCTAACATTTGCTGCATCTGCATTGACTCCGATTTTGTCTCCCCCTTGTTTAAATGCCAATGTCATGAGATGACTTCATCATGAAGTCACAAATTTTAATGATCTGTGACACCGTCCGCGAGTCCACTTAACCTTCTGTACTGTTTCTATTGTCCCCAACAGCCACTTTCCTGATTCCTGAGGCATCTAGGGCATTTGCTTCAGTATCACACATGGAGCACCGACTACTACAAACATTTTATTTTCATATGAACATGAACCCACTGAATTTGGCAGGCAGATGAGAATACGCAATGGTGGCTAGTATTTGGATTTCAGACGCCTAATGACATGTTAGAAATTTGAAACTCGCCGGAGCCACTCTTCTTAGGCACGTGTGAATTCTTTCTAGTGCTGTCTTGCCAAATGAGGGTTCAATACTCTGCGTTCACATCATATTAACAGCTGTTTAACTGGAAAAATACAATGACTGATAGTAACAATGTACTTCTAATTGACAGGCATTATTCTCTTCTGAATAAGACTGTTTTTTGTAAGGCAACAATAGTGAATAAGGCTGGTTTCTTCTTCTTTTTCAATCTTGACGTTTAGCATAGGCGACTTGCATGTGGCAATTTACTTGACTTTCAGGCGGGGCTATTCTGCAAGTGTCCATTATCTGAAGTTAGTACAAGCTTGTGTCGATTGTACAAAAGCCAGTCAAACTGACAGCAGTCTTCACTTCGGCTTTTGGGTTCTGTCGAATCGTTGTGCCTTCATCAGGAGCAGCAAGCTATTTTACATCCTCTGTGGAACAAGAGCCCCTCCTAGCAATCTCCTGTTTATTCTCTCCTGCACGAGCAGATTCTTTTTATGACTACAAATTTTTTTTTAATCCGTTCCTCACCTAAGTCGCTGCTGTCCTTGTATGCATTTCCCATCCCATGGACTCCATTATGTCATTCTCAATGACTATTGCTTATCTGGACTACACATTGTGTGACCCATACAGGCACACTTTTCGTTCCATTAAGATAATGGATATTTCCGTTTGTTCAGTGATCTGCTCAGAGTTCTTCCCATTACTTCTGTTACGTCACATGTGACGTGGTCCTTAAAACAACTCCATGACACCTAATTTTCAATCACAATCTGCATTACGTGGGTTCACGTTACCGTTAAGCCTTTATATGAAATATGCACAGGGGAACGACTCTCATCTTTCATGGAAGATGTCTCTTAAAAGCAGTACACTATGCATGCATTTTCTTATCATCCTCCATTTCAGTGTAGGCAGACAGGTGTCCCTTATACTCAACTGTCCGGTACATCAGTGTCTCTGGTGAAGAGGTTCGATCGTACGTGCATTCACAAACAAGCTGGCAAAATCTTAGCGTATTTGTCCGAGCACTTAACTTGTAAATAAATTTTTTTTGAAACAGACGAGCAGCCCGAGAGGCAGGCAGCACTGACGCACTCCCAAGCTGCGACGTAACAAGCTGCTTGCATTATGAGCATCTAGATTCCAGTAAATGATTTTGTTTTGTGCTCAAAAGCACATGCAATCAAGCTATTTCAGCTTTGTTTGGCATGGTGTTGAAATTGAACGGTTAGCAGTGACTGAAACATAGGCAGAAGGCGACGACTCCACTGTGTGCAGCATATGTCACACATGCTAATGCGAAATGGCAGTCACTGGCAGTGGGTGGGGCCATTATAGCTGGAGACTTGTACGACTCATTTCGCACTTAAATGTTCATTTGCAGCCTATTTTTCGCACATGTAAGGCTGCAATAGAGCCTCCAATTCTGTTGTTCCCTGAAAACCACAAATTGTTGGATGGCCATGTCATAGCCCCTTCAATTCTGGTCATTTTTCGAGTTTCTGCCCAATGTGACCGTGCTTGCAGAAAGAAGTATATACGATTTTCTCTCTCAGGGGCTTTGGTAAAATATCTGCCGCATGCTGTCCAACCTATTCTTCATTCTTTGGTGAATTTCCCGTACAGAAGATGAGTCCCCTGTTAGTAAATGACCATTGTACACATTGTTATGACCGGCGCCAGAGCTGACGGGGGAGCAGCACTCTTTTAATCCTCAAACAAGTAGCTGATCGACCGGCTGCATTTGCCCGCCAGGTATTGTCCCTGCTAGCAGGAGGGTGAGACGTCGTGTCGCCACGACGCCGTAAGCCATTCGAGAGAGGACAGCAAATACAGCAACTTCCTCGGAAGAGACCGCGGCGGCCGCCGCAAATCGCCCTGCTAATCGAGCGAACAGATCGGCGGACCCTTTGATGTATGCAGTGAGGAGCTTGGGACCCCTCGACCAGCGGCACACACACGACGAGGAAGAACCCCGCTGGCGCCACCTTGCAGTGGAGTGATCACGACTCAATATTGGACGTTCCCGTGGGCTGTGCATGCTCGTACCTCTCGCCTCTTGTGTGTGCGTGATTGGTGTTCCACTCAAGGAGGAGGAGCCCGACAGGGCTTAAACCGACGCCGCAGAGTGCTGGACGTAGCTCTGAACCATGTAACGGTTCAACCGCCACGCTCGTGGTCTGTGAACTCGTAACCTCATGCTGTAAATAATTGTAAATAGTGCCATAAACCTGTTTGTTTTTCGTATCCTCATCTTGTCGGCGTTCGTTTCCTCCACCCGAAGTTACACCACGCTACCACAAAAGACCGGGTAGATCCCGGTCCGCAAGAAATGGTGATCAGCGCTGGGATTTGGAGCAACTACTGGTGAACAGCGCCGAGAGTCGCAACAACATACACACTCTCGTACCAGTTCTAGGGTCTGGCTCCCAATCATGACCTTTTGTTGTCCCGTTGGGCCATCAAACAGCATATTTTTATTTTCTCGGTCGAGGTCTTCAATTGGTTGTTTTGTAGATCCTCGCTATCATTGCCAAGAATAGGTATTCATTATTCATTCCTATTTCTTCCTAATGTAGTCATTGGAGTACTTCTTTTAATTATCCTGTGGATGGTGTTGCTGAGATTGTATTCTTCCATCGCTGGTTTTCGAGCCACCAGGGCTTATATGTCAGGAAGGGTTCGGCAGCAGCCAGGCTTTCGCATGGTGACTAGCACATGCATGTTAACGTGTGTACCCCCTTTCACACACACACACTGGTGTGCACACAGATGATACGCGTTTTGCATGATCTGAGAAAGAATGTGCAATAGACGGGGCAAGAACACAGATTTCCAAAGGCAGAAACAGGTCTTTATTGGTGGTCCTAGTACTCTAACAGCCTATATAACATTACAGCAAAAAATAAAATAAAAAATAAAAGTACCCAGTTCCCCACAAACAAGCACACACCCCGGACCGACACGTATGAATCCCTGCTGAATGCATTTTGGGCCGAGTAACAGAGCTGATAGAAAAACGCCAGAAGGGAAAGGATCAACGATGTGTGGTGGCCCTTTATGTACAAGACTTTCAGCATGGAACATGGCGGGCCAAGGAAAAAAAAAATACATGGCTTCGGGGTGAGTGAGTAGAAGGTGGTGCTGGAACCCTTTACAATAGTAATTTTTTTTATTTCTGTACAATGAAACGCGACATCTCTGTCCGTGACGGCGCTTTCCCGAAAGCATGCGTTTTGTGCTCGTGGGAGGGGTAGCCAAACAGACATGGTATACACAACACCAAACAGCTTCATTCCCGACTCGAGAACGTTTTTGCGGAAGCCGTCCCGCCTTGGCTACATATGCCAAAACGCGAGCAGCCATGATTCACTTTTTTTTTAACACAACAAATAAAAATGCAGCATCAAAGCGATCTCGACAACACTTTCACCGGTTTCAATGGGGCACCTAGCCAAGTGCACACGCAAACCCACTTTCAAGAAATAATAAAATAAAATAAAATATTGTGGCACTCGGTTCAGTCGGCGTAGACGCGACAAATTCAATGTGTAGAAACATTCTCAGTGCAATCTGTGCTTTAAAAGCATCCCTCCTCGTGGCAGCAAAGGTAAACGTGCTCGAGCATGTCAAAAAGTAACTAACAATAACCAACAAATAACAAATTAAAATAGTCATAACAGCTCGTGACAATGAGGGGAGAAAAAAAAGCTGTGCTCTCTTACCAACTTGCTCGAGAAAAAGGGGTGGGGTATTGAGGGAGGACGCGTTATAACCAGGTAAAAACGTGTTACATTTGATTGAAATGGCATAAAAGAGCTGGCACGATGAATGTATGACATTGTGCAAGCAAGATGCGACGAAGTCGAAACATCACAAGAATGTTTCACCGAAAATATTTGCATTCTGGTTCGGTTACCACTGCAGGTTCAGCTTTCACGAATAACACTCAACCTGATATCTGGAATGGTGCACGCATTACACCTGTGGGGCTCCGATGTGCACAGCATTTTTTACTTGCTCACGAAAAAAAACGCCAGCGTCACTTCTTTGGGGGGAACTGTATGAGACAGCGTTCCGCCATGATGGGCTGAAAACAGCCACAGTCTTGCAGTTGTCAGTGGATGTAGCCGAATGTGTGAGCAACATTTTCTTTAACACCATTCAACAAACACCGCAACGATTATTTCCACTATATCTGGCCAATCTTCCTAATCTCATTTCTCAGAACTATAGCACAAATTAAATCAACTACAATCTCTAGGAGCTTTCATTCTTATATGGCGAGACGTCGAAAACAACTAAATTCGTGTTCAGATACGCACAGTTGCACACACGCAGCCGCTTAGTCATTATCAGCAATTATACAATTCTAATTTTAGTCACAGTATGTGTAATGTGGCAGGAAATTCAGACATCTTTTGCAACGGACTCTTCACGCTAGGTCTGCTGTGAGTTCTTGTGTTCGACACTTCTCAGAGACAATTAATGTGTGAACTATATGTGCATACAACTATATGTGCGTAAATGCAGCCGATGAAAAAGCGCCAAGAGCAAAACAATGAGCAAATTAAATGTGCAAGAAAACTTCAGTTTGACAACAGGTAGCGTCATATGGTGAAGCTACATTTCATGTTGAAAATGCCTGTCGCCTTTCAGGGAAGGGAGCCCCAGGGGTTGCCCGTTTAACTGCCTGATTGTTCCCCACACCACTTACGCCGTAGCCATCAGTAGCGTTAACAGTGAATTCAGCCTATTTAGGCTTTCAGCAGGTGTACCACACACACTCAAACAAGGTTGTCAGTGGCAGGTAACAGACAGGCTATTGCAACGTGCCCGTTTCGTGGTTCACCACACCCACATTTGGCTTCTTCAAAAAAGCAATCACACCACAACCAACTATACATCAAGGATTTAGGGAATTCCCATTCTATACCCTGTCTGAACAACAGCCAAGAACTGTGCGCCGCATTCACTCCTAGCGTAATAAGCCAAACCACAAATCTTCACGCAACACACACGTACACACAGACTGAAAGATGCAACAGCAACACAACCACAATCAGCTGGTGACGAACCCACCAGGCTGAATTTCCTTTTTGGTGAGGCCAACCACAACAGCCAACCAACCCGTGGTGCTTACACAAACTGCAGCTGGTATTGTCTGGTGAAAACTCGGCCTGACATGGAAAGTTAATGGTTGCAGGATAAAAAGAAAACTGCGTACAGACCACAGTTGCCTCTGACGAGGGTGTCAGAAAGGTCAACATCTTCCCCTGGAATTTTCAGGGGGGGCTATCTCCTCCCCCCTTCTTTAAAGAGTTGGGTCCGAACTGGGCAACAGCCCCTTGGCAGACTGAAAACTTGGTGCCTGTAAGGCAGAGTGGGCTTAGAAACTGACAAGGGATCAACCCTGTGTGTTCAGAACCCCCGACTTTTGTGCCATGACAACAGTGCACACACTCTTGCAGTCGACAGCTAGGATCTCAACAATCGCAGCGAACGTAAGCTCTACAACTAAACTGTCCGCGAGCCGCAAACACTTTGGAAACTTCTATGAAATATGACAGCTAGACAGTTGTCTTAGTTAAAACTAACATGCGTGAACTGCAGCTGGGTAGTGCTCAGGCCACAGACCTGCAATCTGTCCGCGAGCCGCAAACACTTTGGAAACTTCTATGAAATATGACAGCTAGACAGTTGTCTTAGTTAAAACTAACATGCGTGAACTGCAGCTGCGTAGTGCTCAGGCCACAGACCTGCATAGCAAACCACGGCTATATTTTTCTCAGACTCATCAAGCACGCTTTTAATCATGGCTAAAAATTCCTCATCTGTAACTAGCCCAAATCGACTATTAAACAGGATTTAATTTCAAGGGGTCACTGTCAGAGGGAAGCAAACTAGTTCAGTAATCTTCGCATTGCTAGCACTACAGCCACACTTTGACTGAGCTATGTGAGATGCAACACATCTGCATGCAATGATGAAGATCGATAATTTCTGCAACGTACCATTCCAAGTGCTCACGGAAGGAACTCTGACTTCTTATTACTATGAGCTCTGAAAACGATGCTGCACAGCTTAAAATGATATAGAGTAGCTTCTCATATAATAACTGGCATGTTCCTGACAGGCATTGATTATATAATCCCTGATTATTGTACTTATTTTATGGCACATGTTTCAAACAAGCACTAAGGTATCTCTGTACTCTATTCTAAAAAAAAAAAACCTACATTCAGACCTGGTAATACAGAAAACACTGCCTTACCAGTAAATAAATTGTGCACAATTAGACATGACTGCATACATGTTGTGCTTATTGACTATGCCATCTCAGTAGAAGATTGCTGAAGTGAAAACCAGAATGGCGACATACAAAAAAGAATGTGAATGGTGGTGTCCTTTTTCAAGGATTTGTAACTTTATCAAAAAAAATAATATTTGCGGTTTAAAAGAGCTAATAAAATCTTGAAAAGAAACTGTGTAACAGTGTTTCAACATGTAAAACGGTGGCATGACCCAAGCCCATCTCAAAAAGTTGAAATGTACGACCAGCAATGACCATGTGGCATTTGTAACAGGAAACAAGCCTGCCTCGAATATTGTGCACAATCTGTTTCGGCAACTCTAAATGCATTGGACGCGCCTGGATCCTTCACAGGAAGCAAACTAGCAGCACAAGAATTGTGCAGTCTCTTTCTTCACGCATCAGCCTATGCACACGCCTCGCATCAAGACAATACCAAGGTTCGTAGGAGACCACAGAAACGCATAGCGCATCTCCACATCTGTACCAGCATCACAAGCTCCAACACATGACGAATCGATCTGTCAAAAGCCCCACTTCACACAACATTGGTTCACGCTCAACACGTGTTCACGGCTTTCAGGCTACGCACTCACAAAACATTGGCAGCGGGCAACACACGCATCTCCATCCACGACGAGAGCTGAGCAACTCTCATGCGAGACTCATCAGATGTACTAGAGTTGATCTAACTTACAGGTAAGTTCTTATCACCAGAAATCGCTATTTTCAATTCAACCAATTTTCATGGACAAACTGCGAGCAAATAGCTTTCCTAGAATGATAAACTGTGCGAAATATCAGGGAAATGTTTTGGAGAGGTTCATGGAGCGCTTGCTGCATAGAACATGTTAACTGACTTGTAAGCGACTACCGTTGCTGACATATATGTTCACCCCACTTCGCAGTCAAGTGCACTAGGTGTTACATCAACCACTTTTCTTGTCACACGCACACTTGAGCACATACCAATGTGTACAGCAACACAAATCAAACGTCCTTACACATGTCATTCAAGTACTAACCATACCACAGCAAACCTAAGAACTTTCCAAACACAACACTGGCCTACACATGACACGCACGAGCGAAACATGCGAGTTACAGCAAGTACGGCAGTGACCTTGGGTCTTTAGTGGCAGCAACCCTTTGAGATGCTTAAATTTGCCACACGACCCACAAAAGGCGCGTTTGAACACATCTGGTCGGGTATCGCAAACAAGTGATACACATTTTGATTGCAGTTAGGATAGGACTACCACTAAGCTCCAAAAGCAACGAACAATGGGGTGTAGAGAAAGGCCACTGAGAAATGGAGGAGGAGATGAGCCCACCAATGAACGCGTTTCTTTTTGTTGCCTGTGGCAGCACCATTTCTACTTTCTCGACGGTCACCAACTAAAAAATTCTTTCTCCAACTTCACTGGGCGAACAAAGCGCACGCATGCAAAGCAACATCAAAAAGGGCAATGGGTCATTCGTTAAACACGTGCTTCAGTTAGCAGTGTCTGCAAACATAATTATAAATTAATAACAATCTTCACTATGACAAGGTGTAGTGCTGCATGTGGTGTCGTAGCAGTCACCTCAGACGTAACTTGACCCATGGCAACTGAGACTCGGTGAATTCCTTCTATGTGTAATGACGAAACTAGCACCAAATGATTGGAACAGAGTGGTGTGTTTGGAGTACCGTAATAGCCCCAGCAGCTGCCCCTATCCATGCAAGTGGCCCCCTTCCTTTTTCAGTAGAATTTAAATATGCTCCAATAACCAAGCACGTACCCCTCCCACCATTTTCACTGTTTCATTCGATATTTTATGTTCCCGAAGATGGTACATAAAAACAGCAAATGCCTGCGAATTTAACAAATCATTTAATTACGTGCACGAGCGTGCATTCTTTCTTCCTAGTCCAAGTTCTTCCGCCACGGTGGTCTAGTGGCTAAGGCACTCAACTGCTTACCCGCAGGTAGCGGGATGGCATCCCGGCCGCAGTGGCTTCATTTTCAATTGAGCCGTGTGCTAAGATTTAGGGGTACGTTAAAGAACCCCTGGTGGTCGAAATTTCCGGAGCCCTCCACTATGGGGTCTCTCATAATCGTATGGTGGTTTTGGGACGTTAAACCCCCACAATTATTATTACGATTTTTTATGGACAACCGAGCACAAGCCCCGCCCCCCCCTTTCGAAATCTCTTGATTTTCTTTCGCCGTGACTCGAGATTTTACGGTAAGTGCACCTACTCCATGCGGAAGTGCAGTTGCACTCTAGTAGAATAGAATACTTTCTAGCAAGATTCTGAGGCAAAGCCACACACCACAATCACACGAGTCTGGCTCGACACAACTGAACCATCGCTTTCGACCTGCGCTTCTACTTTAACAGTTGAGGTACACTTAACAATACAAGCTTGCAGTGCCAACGAGGGCAGTTGCTCGATCTCTTCCAATCCAATGGAAAATATAATTGCTTGTTCCAAGGCATAACGTAGCGTTACCCATTCTGCAGTTTGTTGACGCTACTTACCTAAATGGCCGACTGACAACCCTGAAGCAAATGGCCGACTGACAACCCTGAACCAATTTAAAATATGGAAGGAAAAGGTGTCTATCATGCACTTTTTTTGAGATGCGGAAAAGAAAAACAAAAGATACTTTCCGAGAGCAGCTATTTGGACGTTGGGTTCGAAATAAGCGCCGAGCTGGAAAGACAAGGGAGTGCTCCACGCTCTAATCTCTCCAGCTCGGCGCTTCCTTCCATTTTTGTTCATCCGTGCTTTAGCGGCAGTGTCTTTTGCTTTATTGCTTTTTACAACCCCGTGATCACGTTTGACAAATGGCGCTACTAGCAACAAGTAAAAAATGGTTCCGCAGCTCTGCTTTCTCAAAGGAAGCCACACATGGCCACTCTAAACACTTGCAAGCGAAGGCTGCTCTCCAATCAGTGAGCCAGACAATCTTTCGCCTGATTGCACGGAGCACGGATAGTAACAGCAAATGCACAAAGTGCGAGCGATAAAGTAGGTGCTTAGATCAATCACAAACTCAGCGTTGGTGCAAAAACAATAAGTGCTGCGACTCGTCGTCTCATTGCACAACATCTGGATCCTTCCTTGAGCCCATGAATCGCAACAATGCGCAATGTAATACATGAGGACAACACACAATAGCAAATACTCGTACTCGGTCACCATAGCAACAATGTCCCAAGAAGGCCTAAGCAACATATTGAATGAAGCCAGTGTGGTCGCACACAGAAAAGGCCAGAAAGATCAGTAACGTTTTCAAGTACAGCACGTAACCATAAAGAATGCCAACACATGGCCATAAAGATGCAAAAAATTGGAAAACAGGTTGATTTACGAAAAATAGAAATAGAAGAAAGGCATTTGTGGTCCACTAAACGTAGGACGCATGGGGACGAAAATTGCAGCAGGTGCGCCAACACAGACTCCATTGTCGAAATGTAAAACACACTTTTCCATGAGAAACGAGCAAAACAACACTGTAACACTCTGTACACAGCAATGGGGCATGCCATTGGACCCCAAGACTGCCTTAAAAACTTAAAACAAGGCTCTGGGGGGCAGACGCGTGCCACATTTGGGGACTAGTGTAAAACTGTAAGTCCAAATGCAAGGCATCTGCATGTTGCACTGACAGCAAAAAAAAAAAAGACAACAAACACTGTACAGGGGTGGCAACACTGAAAAAAAAATAAAAAGTGGTGTGCCTGGACCTCCCAATGGCACGCCAGGAAACACAGTCTGTCATGAACCGCAGCAGTCCCGTGTTGATGCAACACATTTAGGCACCGGGCAAATCTCCCACATGAGAAACAAAGCATACAGACACAGTGGGCAGTATTTTTTTTTTTTTACATAACACATTGTCCACACTTCAGATGGCGACTACCTGCTGCTTGGCAAACACAACCCCAGTTCCGTGCCAAGGGCACCAAAGGCTCGTTCTTCCCTGCCCTCAGAAGTGGTGCGCACGGAAACGTGAGAAAGACGCTACACGCAATTTGCGGTGCAAAAAAATGCATGGACAATCTTGTGATTCGTTAAGCCTTAAATCGAAAGTGGACATGCCACAATACGCTTTGAGTACAGGGAACTCGAACCCTGCAAATATCACAGTGGCACTCGTCTACCACTGTCACACCGGGATACTCTCTGCACTTCAGAAAAGTGCAGGCACTTTGTCTTTTGAAGTGTTCATCAATAATGGCCCGGTTGAACACCAAACAAACCACCGTGTCTGCGAGCCTCCCCTAAGTAGCGCTGGCAGCGCGATGGTCCTTCACCTACTAAGTGTTACATTTGGCCTATTGCTGGCAGGGCAATGCACAGCATCATGGTGCAAGATGTTTTGACGACGCAAAGTGATGGTGCACAAGACCCCCCAGATGAGCCAGCCAATATGTGCCAAGGAATAACGACAAGTATGCGAGACATGCATAGACGCATGCCCCTTTGCTGAAATGGTGCACTGCCAAGGAAATTGATGCTTGCAAATGAAAAAGCAGGCCATGTAAACACCAGTGATAGATATACTGTCGATGTGCCTGCGTCACTAAGCACGCTGTCCATCGTAGCATGACGTGACGCACTGAATAAGCGCCGCAATTCAAGTTGGGATCTTCGGGAGGACACATACACAATCGTCCAATCGTGGGGTGAACATGGCTAAGCGTAGCTGCTTTCCACTTATCGCTAGTGCATTTGGCATGACCACACTTCGCTTCAATGTGCTGTAGCACTGAGCCACGTTCGCCCTACGAGTGAACAATTCTGTTTGCGCAGTCAACACACTGAGGGAAATGGTGATGTTGCTTTACATCCACCACTGCACAGTCTGTATTTCGAGTTGGACCAGGCAACACAACAGACGGCGCTGGGAAACGAAACCAGTTGCAGATGAATCGCCCACTTTCATCTTGAGCTTGTGTCGTCGTCTCTTTATTTTGCGCCTCGAGGTGGTAAATGTCTGTGCTAACACGAGGCGGTGCTCATACGGTGGACAAGACGGGGCTCTGGACGAGGGGCACTCGAGGTGGAAGGATGTTGCTGTCAGCTGCCATGGGGTGGCTGTTTGCAACGTGATTGGTCAGCAGCAGAGCTGAAGTGAAGCCTGCGTCACACTGGTCACACACATATGGCCTTGGTTGTGTGTGCGACACAAAGTGCTGCAAGAAAGAATAGAAAAAAAGCACATATGACTATTCAATTGGTAATTTTCTTTTTGAAGTGACTATCATACTACCTTGTGTTTTTAAATATGCATTAGGTTGACTTCAATGAAATATTTTACTGCATAAAACTTAGTAACAGGTGGTGAAGTTGAGCCAGAAAATTGTTTAGTTCTAAGGTTGTTGAGCTAGACAGTTTACCCTAGTTTACCCAGTATGCTGCCTCTGAGACACAAAAACCTGCACAAAGAAAGGCCCCCATGCTATGTCTGAGGTTCCAAACTTAAATGGAAATGAGAGCTCACAAAGATAGTTGTTTTCATTACTCAAACTGAAAAAGGGTGCTGCAGTCAGTGCCCGCAACAAATGACACACGACACTACTTGTAGTGAACAGTATGAGATGACAAAAAAGCAGCCAAACAAGCAAGCCACAGAATTGGTGGTAACCACGCTAGTGGTAACCACAATCCAAGCTTGCGCTTGCTCAAACTTCAGACTCTTCATGTCCCTATATCGTTGTTCCAGTACAATTATATTTGATTAAATCACATGAAAGTCTCAGAGTACAACAGACAGAATAGAACTGGCAGAGCTTTTCAAGTTGATTAATAGGCATTAAGTATGCGATGCAAGAAGGTATAACTTGGAGAGAATTGAACACGCTCTGAAAAACGAAGGATGCGTCAAAGCAGTGAAGAGGAAACTTGAGATAGGCAAAAATCGAATGTATGCACTAAGGGACAAGGAAGGCAAAATAGCTACCAATATGGATAGGATAGTTCAAATAGCAGAGGAGTTTCACAGAGATCTGTACAGTAGGCGAGACAACCACGACCTTAATACTATAAGAACTAGCAGTAACCCACATGACACCCCACCAGTAATGATAGAAGTCAGAAAAGCTTTGGAGAGCATGCAAAGAGGCAAAGCTGCTGGTGAGAATCAGGTAACATCCTATGTGCTGAAAGATGGAGGACAGATTGTGTTAGAAAAACTAGCCACCCTGTTTACGAGGTGTCTCCTGACGGGAAGAGTACCAGAGTCTTGGAAGAATGCTAACATCATCTTAATACATAAGAAAGGAGATGACAAGGACTTGAAGAACTACAGGCCGATTAGCTTGTTCTCTGTAGTATACAAGCTATTTACAAAGGTAATTGCTAACAGAGTAAAGAAAACATTAGAATTCAATCAAACAAAGGAACAAGCAAGATTTCGAACAAGCTACACAACAATCGACCACATTCATACTATCAATCATGTAATAGAGAAATGCTCAGAATATAACCAACCACTATACATAGCCTTCATAGATTACGAGAAGGCGTTTGATTCAGTAGAAATATCAGCCGTCATGCAGACACTGCGGTATCAGGGCGTCGATGAAGTATATATAAACATCCTGGAAGAAATCTACAGGGGATCAACTGCTACCATAGTGCTTCATAAAGAGAGCAACAGAATACCAATCAAGAAGGGTGTAAGGCAGGGGGACAAAATCTCCCCAATGCTATTTACCACGAGCTTACACGAGGTTTTCAGAAGCCTAGAATGGGAACAGTTAGGGATAAGAGTTAATGGAGAGTACCTTAGTAACGTGCGCTTCGCCGATGACATTACATTGCTGACTAACTCGGGGGACGCATTGCAACTCATGATTACCAAGTTAGACAAGGACAGCAGAAAGGTGGGTCTTAAAATTAATCTGCAGAAAACGAAAGTAATGTACAACAACCTCGGAAGAGAGCAGCGCTTCGAGATTGGTAATAGTGCACTTCAAATTGTAAAAGGCTATGCCTACTTAGGGCAGATAATAACCGCGGAACCGAACCCTGAGATTGAAGTAACTAGAAGAATAAGAATGGGGTGGAGCACATTTGGCAAGCACTCTCAAATTATGACAGGTAGATTGCCACTATCCCTCAGGAGGAAGGTATATAACAGCTGTATCCTGCCGGTACTTAGCTATGGAGCAGAAACCTGGAGACTTACAAAGAGGGTTCAGCTTAAATTGAGGACGACCCAGCGAGCAACGGAAAGAAATATGGTAGGTGTAACCTTAAGAGACAAAAAGAGAGCAGAGTGGATTAGGGAACAAACGGGGGTTAAGGATATCATAGTTGAAATCAAGAAGAAGAAATGGAGATGGGCCGGGCATGTAGCGCGTACACTACAGGAGAACCGCTGCTCATTAAGGGTAACTAAGTGGATTCCCAGAGAAGGCAAGCGGGTTAGGGGGAGACAGAAGGTTAGGTGGGCAGATGAGATTAAGATGTTTGCGCGTATAAATTGGCAGCAGCAAGCACAGGACCGCGTTAACTGGCGGAACATGGGAGAGGTCTTTGTCCTGCAGTGGACGTAGTCAGGCTGATGATGATGATGATGATGGTGAAATCACATGACATTTGGTAGACGTTTGCAGGTTCCCCATAGCAAACCGGCACTTTGCTCTCATAAGCTCCGCTTTGTTCGTGACACCAACATGGCCAACGAGGCTCCCTTAAAAGTAGGACCTTTGGCCGTCCACATCACTTGTGTCGTCCTCAATGAGATCTTTTCTTTTTTGTTTTTCTGGCTCAGGTGAATTGAATGTGGAGGATGGTTGTCGCGATACAAAAGAGTCGATGCCAGTAACAAATTGGATGATCAAATTAAGCTTGGCTGCGTGATGTTTTATCCTGCGGACATCATGCAACTGTGGTCTCATAATCACAAGGTGAGATTCCTTCATGGTCTGTTTTCAAGGCTCCTATTGCGGACCTCTTTGGGCAACCTGCAGTTCGCAAGCTTCAGGCCGAGTAGCGTTTGCGTCAATGTGAGCAGCAAGCAGTTGAGAATTACATGGGCTACATCGAGGATGTGCTGAATCTCAGCAACAATGTAAACTCTGACATGCCTAAGGAGGAGAAAATCAAGCGCATTTTGAAAAGCACCGAGACAGCACCTTTCAGATGCTGCTCGCGAGACATCCTACCATGGTCGCTGCACTCCTCTCACTCTGCCAGGGTTTCGACAACTTGCGTAGGCAGCGCGTGATTGCTTGTTAAGCCCTCATGATGCCCAAACGCTCTCAAGCTTGTAGATAGGTGCCCGTCCTGCTGATCAGTTACTTTCCACGATAAAGGACTTCATCCACAAAGAGGTAGCACGCTAGCCGTCACTACTTGCACTCACACATGAGCCTGTGCATGCTTTCGCTACGGACCTTCAACGTGCCATTCGAACACAGCTTGCCAAGGCACCGGTGCCTCAACCACCTGTGTAGCTTTACTCAAGTACGCTGCCGTCCTTGCTCGGCCCACGCAGCAGTCGATGCCTTATGCTCCACCTATCATGTCACCCTAGACTCTGCCCAAGACCGCGAGGCTACATAGCGTCCTTTTGCAAGATCTTCGACTCCATTTCACCGTCGCCCAGACACGTGGAGGACGCCAGACCAAGGGCCCATCTGTATTTCCTGTGGTATCGTTGGACACGTTGCCAACCATTGCTGCATAGGTCCTTCTCCATTTGACACCATGGGCAAGCCTGTTGCGTCGTTGTCAAGGGCGCTACCAATGTACACTACTGACGATCAACGACTCTACACCAACCACCGGCCACCATCTCCCCGAGGACGCTCCCTGTCACCCATGCATGCATCGCAAACTGACTGCGGAAGAGGCAAACTGATTACTGAAGTCCAAGGGGCAAGAGTTGCATCCTAGTAAAGCTGCCCAATACCTCCATTTTTTCCACCGCTTTCTCACTATTCAAGTCTCGCTCGTTCTGTGCAGCATTGTTCATTGCATGAAAGCCGCATATAATCCACAGACTGATGGCCTCACTGAACAATTTAATCACACTCTTGGTGCTTCGCTGACAATATATACCACATCCTCATAAACCAATTAGGACACCGTCCTACATGTACAACCCTGCTACGCACGCAACCACAGGTTTTGCACCTTTCTTTCTTCGTACAGACACGAAATGTCATGCACGCTAAACACTATGCTACCCAAGAGACCACACTCATCTGAATACACTGCAATTTATGATGTAGCCAGGTACTACGAAGACTACAGCCAGCCTGTTCGCTGACAACCAAGGAACAAGGCCACCAGAAGCTAATGCACGACACAGATTGCCCTCTCCCTACTTTAATGACCGATGCCCTCTTTTGCCTTCCATGGAGTACTCATGGCCTTTCGTTGTAATGACTGGCCCGATATCAAGGGCCCGTAAGTCACCAATCAATTATGAGGTTCACCCTTTGATACCGTCCAAAAACTTACGCCATCGTGGTAGGTAAATCGTCCATGTGACTCACTTCAAGCCCTATCATGACCCCGCTATTCTGACTATACACTTTTAAGTCGCCAGCATGGCTTCAGTATTCACCATGGCAACAGTACGAAACGACGACAAAGCATCCACAGTGTTAGTGGTAGCCACGTGACCGAAGATTGCATGCGCTTGCTTAGGTTTTGGCCTCTTGACGCCCCTCGTCGTTCCAGTATGTTTAGATGTGAATGAGTCATGTGATACTACTTATACACTTCAAATAATGTTCTCCAAGATCTCCACCCCATGAAAACATCTAAGGATCCAGGGCATATGTCATAGCAACAAACACAAGGTCAATGCAGCACGGTGCATGCTTATGTACTGCAGCTGCCAAAATAAAGCCTTCTGCCCCACATTACCATACCTGTGGCTTTGCCAAAGTTGCTTCAGTGGTATGCAATGCAATAAACTTGGACAAACTGAATATCTGCAGCAGTGAGCTTTGAAAATGAGGTCTGAAATCAAAATACATCAGAAAATAAAGATCACCCACATTGAGATCATGTACACGTGGGGGCTGGAGAAAAAGAAAATTGCAATCATGTCTATCTAAAAATTCTGGCACATTGCATGCATAGTGGGAATTAATGTTATGGAAAGCAGTCAGCGAATAGCTTATGTTGCACTTTGAGCAGTCTTACGAGGTATTGATGGGTGGCCTACTTGTTACTTTTCGACGTGTGGCAAAATTACCAACCTGTTGAAGCAGTGCTTGCGATGGGAATGCCTTCTGGCAGATGGAGCAGAGCCAGGGAGTGGCGAGGGGAGGAGAGTGGACCTGGGTGATGGTGGAGGCCACCTCTTCGTCCTGCTCCTGGAGCTCCGCACCCGACGGGTGGTCGCAGTGCAGGTGCACCTGAAGCGACTTGGCGCTTTTCAGGAGGCGGCCGCACAGGTGGCAGGGCCGCAGCGCCCCACTCTCCCAGGAGGAGGGAGGGGGCGGTGCCTCGATGACGGGCAGTGGGCTGCTGGCCCCGCCCACCCTCAACGGGCTGATAGGGTCCGCAACGCCCACTGGCGATGCCAAGGAAGGTTCGCCATGCTGGTACAGCTTTTGTGCCATCACCTGCATCCACAGATGCACAAGTTGTGCCAACAAGGTGAGCATGGCATCCTCCCTTCGGCCTTTCTTTCTTTCTTCTCACATCTCTATTCTCAGAAAGGACATTAAAAATTCAAAAACTATGGGATAAACCTGCACTGCACATCAAAGAGCTTGACCAGAAGTCAATATTTAGAATATTGCAACCAGGGGCATGCAAATATTTGAAGTTTTGAATATCTTTCAAATAGTGTTTCCTATTCCATTTGATTCACACTAGAACATTTACTATTCGAACTTCCCAACAAATACAGTCAACGTTCAATTTAATGTGACCCCTTTGGACTTTTATTATGCTTCACCTTATCACAATCTAGTACTGCGGCAAAGCTGCGTTTCAAGCTCTGCTACGGCCAAACTTTTCAAAAACACAGTCGTTCGCTTAAAAGTGACCCTTTCAGATTTTGATTATGCTTCACTTCATCACATGTTTTTATTGCAGCAAAGCTGTTTTTCAGTCAAAAATGTGTTGACTTGAGAAAACACTGGTTTCGACATGGATATGATAGATGTGGCAGATGTGAGGACTGAATTAATGCTGCTTTAGACCTGAAATTTAGGCAGTAAGTCTGAAAAATCGGACACGAATGTTTTTTAGCGTCCAAAACTTCAGATGTTCTATTGGCGTTTACAAGGCAGATTTGAAAGTGTGGCCTCGACGGAAGCACAGCCTCATGCATCGCACCAGTTGGGATTCCTCAGAAGTTGAAAGAGAAGGAGATGCTGAGGTAATAGCACCTTTGCCATTCACACGTATAGTGTTGTTGGCAACTCCTTGGTTGCACCAAATTATGTACTAATATGATTCGACCTCTGCATTGCCTCATTCTTGATAAGACAAATATGACACATCACCTTGCAAGAGTTTAATCAACCTAGCGAAAAAAAACTTTCATGGTGCTATATCTCATACAAATATGCTTAGGAATCTTCTCCAACTTTTTTTCCTGCAATTGAGCTTCAAACTGTTTGAAGAAGATTCCAGAAATATTTTAGAAATATTTGATTCAATTTGCACTCACACTTCAATATTCAAATAAAACTTCGCATCAAGATTTTGCTTTTCACACAGCTCTAATTGCAACACTTCGTTCAGGCACAGGTTTGGTCCCTGCTCGCAGCAAGCTCTTTTTGTCTACTTTACTTTCTTGCCATCCAAGCTACTATTAATACAATACACCTAAAACAGTACAAATAATATTCCCTGCATGTTCCTTGCCTACATTATCTGCTGAGTTTCATTACGGTAGTATTACACAAGAAAAATGAGCCCTCGAGATTTTTTTTTCCTTTCTCATTAATTTAAAGCGAGATTCTCCTCCTGGCCATGTAGATGCCTCCAAGTAGTATGCAAGGGCATACTAGCTCTGCAATCAGTCAAAGGTGATGCTGTTAAGTGATGCCATCTGGCAAAGAAAAGTTTCTTCCGCACTCATTGCTATGGCTACAAACGACGCTGACTAACGCTCTCAGGTTTGCATGCACATAAGGGTGTCCAATAAGTAGACAACCACTGCCATAGCTCAATAGGAAAGACCGCTGGGTGTGTAATCTAAAGGTTAAAGGCTCGGCCTTTTCGTCTACATTACATTCTTCACATCTACACCACTGTACTAAAATTAACGTCCCCTGTACAATCCTCAGCTTTATTATTTGTGGGTTTTTCTTAAAAGGGCCCTGAAACACATATTCAAGTTACCATAGAATGCATTCACTAAAAGAGCCTGTGGTCTTACGAATTCACCGCCGCAAAAATTTTAAGAATCCGTCTAGTACGAGTGGAGTTACAAAGATTTGTCGCATGCTGCAGTCGCATTCTCTCTTGAAATCGTACCAGCTGAAATCGCATGATTTGTACCAGTGCTATAGCCATCACACATAGCACTAACTTCGGTAACTACAAATGAATTTCCTTTTAGGTAAGGCATACTTCCAATGAAAAGCTAAGTGGTCTTTTATGACCCACCCAAAGTAGAGCTCTGGCTGTGAGGTGTGGCACATTAAGAGGTTGTGCATTATAATTTTGGCAAGCTGTGGTTCTCCGATGTGCACACAAATCCAAGCATGCTAAGATATTTTTGTCTGTGTTTAACTTTAGCTGCAATGCCATTCCTATTACGGGTAGATTCAACTTCTGCTTATCATGTAATAAAGCTTACAACTAGTCATTGAAAGAAGTGCCACGAATAGTGAAGGCGAGGCGACCTTCGTTTGGTGGTCATCATAGAGACAAGCTGAGGCCAAAACACATGAGAATGGTAAAAAGAAAATACAGAGTCTGAAACTGCTGTCCACATGTCTTCGCTATCATGCGTGCATCTGTGTTCCGGGACCTACCACTTTAAAATTACGAGCCAGGTCAATATTCTCACCTGCAGGCTCTCGAGTGAGTTGTCACAATCAGAGGTGTCAATCTCGTTGAGGTTGACGCCCGAGCGCTCCATCTCGGCGTACATGCCAAAAGGCAGTTTGCCCAGGCACTCCAGTTTCAGGATGTGCATCTTGGAGCGCAGGTGCTTGGCCAAGTGGCCATGAATGCGGAATGCAATTTGGCAGTCCGCACACTTGAACGGCCGCGGGTTGTCCGCCGACGGGGCACCAAATGCTAGGTTCATGTTGAGCCGGTTGTAGTGGCCCACCGATCGTCGGTGCTTCTGCAAGTGCCCCCGAGTCCGGAACGACACGGCACAAGCCTCGCACCGGAATGGCCGCTCGAAGTAGTGGATGTTGACGTGCATTCGCAGTTGACTGGCCTTGGTGAAGCTCTTGTGGCAGATCCCACAGCGGCCTTCCTCGCCGCCGCTTGTGGCAGACACGAGGGCTTCGCTGCTCGGTGCCACCATTGGCACCCCCTGAGGATGGGGTGGGACGCCGGCTGATCCGGGGCCTCCAAGTTCCAGGCAAGCTCCCAGAAGGCCACCTTCGCGGGCATACGAGCGCACGTTGTGGCCCGAGACGTAGCCACCCGGAAGGATCTCCAGGCGCCGCTGCCTGGCCGTGCTCAGGTCCATGGGACCCTCGTCAGGGTGCCGGCCAAGCGACGACATGGAGTAGCGCCGGGTCGGTTCCGCCTCGGCAATGCCGGCGGCTCTCTCGTGCATCTCCATGGAGAAAGAGCGAGGCCTGTGCCCTGCGGGAGGGCTGCCTAACCACGGAAGGCCGCCCTGCGGCCACGAGCCAGCTTCCGGCACGGTGAGCTCGGCGGAGGCTCCCACGTTGCCGGAGGACACGGCTCTGCCGACAAACGTGGATGGTCCGACCATTGGACCACTGCTGGCCCCAATAGAGATCGGAGAAGATCTCGAAGCGGGAGGCATCGCCGGTCCCCCATCGCCTGGCCACGTGGCACCACCATCAGGAACGTGAGCGGATAGGTGCAGGAGGCTACGCGCGGCTTCTTGCTCTTCGGAGACTTGGCAGGTGGTCGTGATGACTGCGATCGGTTGAGGCGCCAGTGACGAGCCGCTGTCCGGTGGTCCAGTCAGCGTGATCACTGGGATGTTGCAGGCAATGTTTGGTGGAGGAGGGCCACTGAAAAATGTTATCAATATTAGAAAGCAGGGCAGGTGGAAACTACGTCAAAGTCGCATGCAAGAGAGAGCGAAACTGGAAAGTAACTGAAATTGTTAATGTACTCGTGAAGCGATTTTTTTAACATCATATAAAGAGACATGATGAGAATTAGCAGTTTTCTTGGATGTAATTTCTTACCACTTTTTTTTTTCACCCTTACTGGGCGCGTGCTTTCTTTCCTGCTACTGTGAACATTTTGCACAATATACAAACCACAACCATATGAACCACTTAGTTTGTAAAAAAAGCGTACTTTCTGGCAAATTATGTTCTTGGAGTATACTTGGGACTTCTGCATGCAGCATAACTTAGGGATCACAAATCATCTCTCTTTGTGTGAGCAATCAATGCACATCACTGAAAGTGTTAGTGGCAATACTAGATCCCCAGATGTTATCAAAAGAGGGCATTGACAACACGACGCCAAGGGATCTTTGAATGCAGGGCAATCAATTTCACCTGGGTAGAGGCTGTGGCAGTGCCGACGGTGCTGCCATGGCCAACAGGCCAATGGGCGTTCCTTCGTCATCCTCTTCCTCCTCTTCGTCTTCCTCCTCTTCCTCATCATCTTCTTCCTCTTCTTCCTCCTCCTCTTCCTCCTCTTCGTCGTCCTCTGAAGTGGGCCGTTCCCGCTGCTGCTGCTCCTGTAATGCAGCACCCGCGTGTTTTGTGTCAGCACAAATGTGGACAGGGAAAGATTCAAGGTGCGCTCAATGTACAGCCGCAACATCTGAGCTATACTAAATACCGACCTTGAATGGGAATGTACACACAAAGGTGCAATCTGAAGTGTAGCCATTAATGTGACTTTTCTCTAGAAAACAGGAAGTACTTATTTGGAAGCGACCAGTATACATTATTTGCACAATATCTGACTTAGTGGCGACGTTACCTACCGTGGTAGGTCAGCGGCTAAAGCATTGCTCTGGTGAACTCGGTCACACGTGCTCAACCTTTCTTCTCCGCACTCGTGGAATCTGCTTATTTGATCCCAATGCTTCACTTGTGCTTTTGATGCTAAATAGCGCTAAGACATGAATATACTGTCACTTATTATTAGTATAAGGCTGCTCAACATTCACAAACTAGTCAAGAACTATGCTATATATGTAAGAACTATGCTATATATGTACATACAATTCAATTTGTTTCTTTCACGATTTGGTGTGGTTGCAAAAAGCACTGTTCATGCACCCTACGAATAAGAATTCTTGTGCATACTTGTCGCGCGAGGGTGTCTGGGTCCACTTGGGTTGAGTCGTCCACCGTGGTGGGCACCGGGAGAATGCCCAGCTCGGTGCACTTCTTGTGGTGAGCTTTGGACTTCATGTGCTTAGTCAGGTTGCCCTTGGTCTTGAAGGCAAAGCAGCAGTGGTGGCAGGAGAAAGGCCGCAAGTCCGTGTGCGTCCTGATGTGCTTCTTGAGCATCGACGGCTTCTTACAGCGAATGCCACACTCCTCGCAGACGTACTTGCCACGCCCACGACCGCGCACGTATGTGTACGCCTCGTTGGACTTGAAGCCCCCTTCAAAGATACGGACTCGTTTCGGGCTGCCGCTGGTTCCGTTTCCATCGGGCGCAGCAGCCACAACATCCTCCTTCGACACCGCCAGCTGATCCGTTTGCATTGGACTGTCCGGACCCTCGGATGGTGCTGCCATTGGCACTGTTGCAGCAGGAGGCACTGGTAGAGGGGGTAGTGTGGGTGGCAGCAGTGGCGCCACCTAGTGGATGACAAAAGGAAAGGTGCACATTGTAATACGGCGCACGTCACAAATCACGGTCGTCCAAGTACCACTGACCTCCAGGGAAACTTTCTGTCAGTGTAATAATACAAGAGCACTATAGCTGGTGTAATGGCCATTACCTGAGGCGTGGCTGGTGCTGGTACTGAAGGCACAACTGGTTGCACCACCTGCAAGCAGACAATTATGATGGTTAGCATGAGTTGAATACACACAGCAGACAACAAAGGGCAATGAAATTCCATCACAACAATTCTTACTAGCGAGATTACACTGGCTTTGTGAACCTTACACGTCACAATCTCACGCTTTTTCACACATTGGGCGCCATTGCCTTTCTTCCAAAGCAACACCATCAGGATGCACATGAATGCATACAGCCAGCTTTATGAAGTCACGAACTGCAGATTGCTGCTGCAGCAGATGAAGGACAAACACATCATCATTGCATTTAACAAGTACTGACTTATGGGGCAAACACTGAGGTTAGAGAGACGACTTGAGGACACTCTTGACAATGGCACAATGAATTATAGAATGCAAAATTCGAGGACAGTCAACACGTTTCTGTGAGTTGTAATTTCAAAAGCGTCAATGCCCAGTTGAACACCCAAGCCTGCAAGCCGCCACAAAGCCTGGCCAGTGTGGGGAGCGGCTAAGCCACGTGGCGATGAGCAAGAGAGATGTGGACTATGAACAGTTATCTCTTGGACAGCAACGCTGTGCACTCTGCATTAGCATGCTACACTGCTTAAACATTAAGCTTAAAATTTCATTGCCATGCCTCATGTAACGAAAGTGACCACATCAGATTTTAAGTTCAAGTTGCACAGTACTGAGCGCAAAGATTTTATTTCCTACGTAAACAGTGTTCGTTCAGCCCATAAGGTAAGACATGCTGCTTCCAAAAGCTCGTCCACACCCACGAGTAGAACTGGCCAACCAAGTTAGTTGCTAAGTGAATGGTCACCAATGGCTGCTTCGCTCACAGAACAATTACCTTGGCTTGATAGTCCACTGCTTGATTCACAGTCGCAAGTCTCGGAAATCGCTGAGACGTCCAGCAACAGGATGCCAGCTTATTTTGCGGGACAACGATAATGGGTGATGCTAACAGGTGTAAATTCGATGCGGTGACCAGTATGGGTTGCGTGCAAATGCAAACATTAGTTGCCTTGAGTAACTTTTCGGTCACCAGTAACAACAGGTTCTGTGACCAGTGCTTGTCACAGGTGCGACTGAGCATTCAGCATGGTGTCGCAGCTTCGAAACTACCATCTCAAACTTTATCAGTCAAATCTCTTTCATTTTCTATGCATTAATTTTCCTAATAGCGACTGAAGAGGCTACTATCTTATGCTAGGGCCAACATCAGGTGCTAGGGCCAACACAGTTATCATCTAATTAATGAGCAGTCTAACTTACTGAACTGAGCAACCGATCTGTTAAAGATAAAAGGAACATGGCGACCAAACAAGAACTGTAATATGAAAGATGTTTCGGCTCCTGTATACGGGCTTTGTTCGTGATCGTGCAATGGAAGAAGGGGGTAATTTTCCACTGCATCATTGACAAGTCGCATAAATACCAGATATGCTGTAATAAGCCCCCAAATGGTCAAGCGACATTGGTCTCAACCACAACTGTGCATGAAAACAAATGAAAAAAAAAAAACACTCAAGAACTGCCGCACTTGTGTGAGTGAAAAAAAGTATGAACGTGAGATGTTTAAATTTGATATGAACACCTTGTATGATAAAGGCAGTATCCATGTCCGGCCAAATGCCTGGTACTGCTTATTTCCAATCGTGCATGTTGGCTGCTTCCTGAACATGTGTACAGATGGTGCTGCAATGTATTCTTTCTTTGCAACTTGTCAATTGTGAATAAGGCCCTTGTATGGGAGCCGAAATGTCCTTCGTGTTAAAGGCCTTTTCATAATTGGTTGAATTATTCCTTTTATCTTTGACCATGAGTATTCCCAACCGAATGACTTTTCGTCAAATCTTTGCCTTCATTAAAGAATCCATTATTCACTACAGATTCTCCATACATGGTTTTGACAAGTACACTCACCTGAGGAGGCTCTACAGCCGCCACACAGGCATCTGGATTAGCCTGCATCATTGGCTCTTCTGCCGCCGGTGCCTCCGATGACATGGGTTCGTCGTCCAAGGCAGCGCCCGCTTGCGGAGATGTAGCACTTGTCTCAGACTCCATAGCCGTAGCCTGCGCAAAATGTGAGCAACAGTGCTTACAATCTAAGCAACAGGTCACACTTCAAGGCTACGTCTTCGTTGGCTTCCGCTACTACGCGTTCTGTCACAATTGTGTAACATTGACAGAAGATATGGGTTAATATTCAAAACTTTGCTTTGGCCAAACAGAGCATCTCACTGAGCCGGGTAATTTCAACTTCTATGTTTACTTGCATCTTAGCGGAAAGCCAAGAGACAAAGTTAGCTGGGTAACAAACAGGATTTCGAACAGGCTACTCAACAATCGACCACATTCATACTAACAATCAGGTAATAGAGAAATGCTCAGAGTATAACCAACCACTTGACATTGCCTTCATAGATTACGAGAAGGCGTTTGATAATATCAGCCGTCATGCGGACAATGCGTAATCAGGACGTCAATGAAGTATATTTAGACATCCTGGAAGAAGTCTACAGGGGATCAACTGCTACCATAGTGCTTCATAAAGAGAGCAACAGAATACCAATCAAGAAGGGTGTAAGGCAGGGGGACAAAATCTCCCCAATGCTATTTACCACGAGCTTACACGAGGTTTTCAGAAGCCTAGAATGGGAACAGTTAGGGATAAGAGTTAATGGAGAGTACCTTAGTAACGTGCGCTTCGCCGATGACATTACATTGCTGACTAACTCGGGGGACGCATTGCAACTCATGATTACCAAGTTAGACAAGGGGAGCAGAAAGGTGGGTCTTAAAATTAATCTGCAGAAAACGAAAGTAATGTACAACAACCTCGGAAGAGAGCAGCGCTTCGAGATTGGTAATAGTGCACTTCAAATTGTAAAAGACTATGTCTACTTAGGGCAGGTAATAACCACGGAGCTGAACCACGAGATTGAAGTAACTAGAAAAATAAGAATGGGGTGGAGCACATTTGGCAAGCACTCTCAAATTATGACAGGTAGATTGCCACTATCTCTCAAGAGGAAGGTATATAACAGCTGTATCTTGCCGGTACTTAGCTACGGAGCAGAAACCTGGAGACTCACAAAGAGGGTTCAGCTTAAATTGAGGACGACGCAGCGAGCAATGGAAAGAAAAATGGTAGGTGTAACCTTAAAAGACAAGAAGAGAGCAGAGTGGATTAGGGAAAAAACGGGGGTTAAGGATATCATAGTTGAAATCAAGAAGAGGAAATGGACATGGGCCGGGCATACAGCGCGTAGACAGGATAACCTCTGGTCATTAAGGATAACTAACTGGATTCCCAGAGAAGGCAAGCGGGTTAGGGGGAGACAGAAGGTTAGGTGGGCAGATGAGATTAAGAAGTTTGCGGGTGTAAATTGGCAGCAGAAAGTGCAGGACCTGGTTAATTGGCAAAACATGGGAGAGGGCCTTGCCCTGCAGTGGGTGTAGTCAGGCTCGTGATGATGATTTACTCGCGTACTATGAGCAGTTGTCAGCAGTGGTTAGGATTACCGAGCGCTGCCCGAAAGATGATTATGTCAGCCAGTTACAGTGGCTACCTGATGATGTAACACCAGTGCTGTCGTCATTCAATCTCGATCCACTGACTGAGCTGTTTTTGAAGCCAGCAAAAATGTCACAGCATGGCTGAAGTAGAACCTGACCGCCACTACCAACAGTTGTAGTGTTTCCCTCATATAATTTTTTTTTTTTTGCAAATAACTCGCCTTTGTTGCCCACCGCTATGAATCTGTAACTACCACCTTACTCTTCCACTTTGCTGACCATTTCAATACCTCTTTTTTTTTCTAAGACAGTTTGATATGATAACAATTCATGGCACCAGCACATGTTTCTAATATTTTCGAAAAAATAGCTGTGAAATTCTACATTGTGTGTTGTTTATTTTTATTTTTGTTTTTCTGCTCTTCATCAATGTACGGTGGAAACATGTGCGACAGACAATGAGCCATGCATTGCAAGTGCACTGTTGGATGTTCATTGTTCTTTTTCTCCCTTCAATATTCTTTTTTCTCCTCACAAATCTTTTTCCTACACGCTCCCTTTTCTGATTAAGCATTCTGCCATTTTTTTTTTTTCATGCCAGCAAAAGACTACAGTCTGTTTCTTTTTTCCTCATGTTCTCAAATAGCATACAATATGGTTCAGTGCATTTTCCTGCCATGACAGCTCTACTATAGACCTTCGAAAATACCACCTATTTTCATCTTCCCTTTGCTCAATGAATGACAGGAACGAGAAGGTGGAAGCTTGCGATGAAAAAATCTTTAGACAGGGGTTGTGCGCTCAAGTCCATGTTTATACAAGTGGGCCCGTCTTCTTCAAGGCCAGCACATTTCTAGCCTTTAAAAGACAAATCCAGTGCGCTTGAGCACACAAAGCCTGTTTACAGACTTGGCTCAATGAGCCATTCAGTAATGCCATAACAAGACGTTGGAAGAAGTAAAAAAAAAAAGCACGATTTTCAATCTGGCTGTCTCACAAACGAGAGCATGTTTATCTAGCATACTGTCAGACATAGTGCATTGGACACGGCACAAGGAGTGACTCAAAAAGGAAGGTCACACAAGACAGGGCAAATATCTCAAGGCAATTTTACATTCCAACGTGAGAAGTTTTGTGTATGTTTTGACTGCTTTGTAAAAATAACATCCACAGCCATGTAGTCAAAGATATGCCAGCTCATTACTTACACCCTTTTATTTTTTAAGATTTTACATTACATTGCCTCTTTATTCTTTTCTAACCTTACACTACGAAATAAGGCAGTTACGATATCTTCATTTAGTTTTTTTCATTACATTTTGAACACAAGTACCACATTTTCTAAAGTGGGCACACGCAAGGCAAGTGAAAGTACTTTCGAAACTGAGCATGTAAAAGTTAGCATTTTCCTTCGAAACTGACTTTTAGAACAGCAGAACAGATTAAGACAAACACCAATGACCTAAACACTGACAGAGAATGACAGTGACTATGAATAACTGCTTCCTCTCTATGTTTAGAGCCCCTCAGTACCCCGGTCTAGAAAGATCAAGAATACGACTACGCCAGCAAAGGGAGTGGACGAAGTTGGGGACTTGTCGGACAGGGATGCCACTGCCTCTACAATAGCAGTCACTCGCCTGACATGCTAGACTGGAGCCTGACTGAAAAACTAAACACAGGTAGTAGGAAATGTGACTGCTCCTGCCCCCCCCCCCCCCTCCTCCACGTTGAAAAAACCTGGCATAAATGACTCGAGATGTCTTTTGAAACCTTCAGTGACTGAACAAATGAGCAATGATAGCCGGCCCTGAGGTCATTGCAGTCCTCTTCAAACTTGGCACGTGAGGCAAGGATTGCCTATCGCTTGGTTATCATTTCTTCTTAGGCAACTTGCTCCCCTATATATGTCGTCGGGCCACTCCTATCCTATATGAAGGTTCACCACTGTATAAATTTATAGATTTATGTGTAGGCTACAAGCCAAGCACCCAAACAAAGCATTCTCATTGGAGAAATACCTTGATGATGCAAATACTTTTCCTTTGCGAAAAAAAGTCTCCCACCTCTTTTGATGCCACACAGCATCTCATCACTAGCTCGTCCAAGTGAGAGCCCCCACAACCAATTGCATATCACCAATGCACCGTTCTTTTCTGAACGGTATGAAGATATTAAAAAATACACTCGGAAATTCAGCAAACTTGCAAAGGTCGAACACCAGTGAAGCTGTTTAATACACAACACAGAAGTGACACACTATGCAAATAAATTCAAAATACCCGCTCGAGGAATAGCTTTTCAATTTAATTTACCATATTCACTCAATCGTAATTGCGAGCACAACTGTAACGCGAGGTGCGACTTTCCTTGTAGGCGGGGAGAAAAAAAACAGGCAACAAAAATAAAAGAATAATTGTGCGCATAACTGCACTTTTTCGACAACCTGAACTTTGGGATTCAACAGTAACAAGAGGTTTGACTTCAGGTAACAAAAATCTGGTAAAAAACTCATTCTACATCTAAGTGAACACGCCATGCTCCTCTGAAGGTGTCCATCTGACCAGCGTGCGTTTTTATGCCTCATTCTTCGTTTCATGGCATGCGTGGTCTTGTATGGCTTGTCATGTGCTCTGGGCATTTCAAGCACGATCTTAATTGGCCTTTTTCGCTCAAGTCTTACCTTTATTTTAAGCAGGGCAGTTGTGAGTGAGTGGTGTGGTTTGCCGAATTTCTGTGTTGCATGCGTTTTTGGTGACGGATAGGAAACATACAACACAAAACCCCCGCAGTGTACAGCTCCGCTATATTTGTAAAAAGGTAAAGCAAATTCGGCAGTCATATCCAGAACTAACCTCTTCCCGACACATGTGGATGTCATAAAGTTCCGCACAAGAAGACTCAGAAGCACCTAGCTACGAGCTTGCAAGCTGAGTCACCTTTTGAACTGATAACAGCTGAGATAAGCTCTGCTGGGGCAGGCCCTAATCTCCACAAGAGCACTCAGATAGCGGCCGAGTGCCTTGCCAACTCATAGACCCACTTTGCCCTTAGAGCTGATTATTAGGCGAGAATCTGTCACCGTTTCCCAAGTGAAGCCAGCTAATTTTGCTGCAACGGTGGTGTACACTACACCTAAAATGAAACATTTCTTTTTCTGAATTCCATTAGTACACTATAAACATCTCCCACGAGCAAGATACTGTTCGTTATATGCGCAGATACGTAAATTATTAACCACAACTGCACTTATACCCTAGTCATGCGGCTACACGAAAGCCCTTTTAAGTAAGCAGTCTTTTACAATGTTGAAGCAGGCACTGCCTCGCAGGCACATGGTGCCGAAAATCTGTTTTGGCCCTTTTCTTTTAAACGTTCTGCTGAAAGCATGGAGCAAGTTTTCAAAAATGAACCAGCCAAAATAAGATTATGCATCTCGAAATACACGTTGCTTATAGCTTGCATACAGGGCTCTTCAGCCACCTATGTTGACGCATTTCTTGTGTTCCTGTGTGCTGCACTCTAACACCCCTGTGATGCACCTGGCACGACGCCTGTCCAAACCCTTCAACCTGCTTATGAGAGTACACAAGGAAGATTTAATTGCTTTACCATACCTTGTACAAGATATTAAATTTCTTTAATTATGAGTCAAGCTGACTGCAAAAAAACATCTGCTCATATTGCGAAAATCAGTTTAGGCAGCAGAATCTCGTTAATCCAATTCTGCATAACGGTACATTTTTCAGTTCATTCTCGGTCAACATACCTTGCAAATAATGCATTTATTACGATCACATTTTTGCCAAAAATTACATAGTATGATTGCAAAAGCGGACCTTGACTGATATATCTAAGCATCTACATTTATTGTTCACTAAAATAGTTTGAACTGCACTCCGACAAGCCATAGTTGGGATATTGCAGAGCTGTTGAGGCCACCGCAGCATAGATTTTGCAGCAAAGCGATCCCTACCTGGCGCCGCTGCTCTATCCAATCATTAAAACGACACTGCAAGAAAGTGCAGCACAAATGGTCCTGCTGTTTTAATATTGCTCAATAAAAGTGAGTTGCTGATGAAGCATACAAATGTTCTGTTTCTTTTTTTCAACACGAAAGTGTTTTATGCCGGGGTCCATCACAGCTCCGCTAATATACTTCCATCGGGACGTTGAAAAATATATATTTATAGTAAGAGATTGCAAAGGAAAAAACATAATGCAAGCATTCATTGTGTGGAATCGAACCAGTGACCTCTTGATTTTGAGCGCGCGGCACTAACCACTACGCCACAAAGCGCACGAGTGCTAAGGGCAGGCCATTTATATACACCACGCATCGTTTGGCAGTCCTCAGAGCTTCGAAACTTAAGTGCGTTTTCATTATCAGTGGCGAGATGGCGCAACAGGCTCGCATTCAGCGCACTCTAAAGGTCGTTGCCTCTACGAAGTGCTGCCTCCAAGAAGCGTCGTCTAATTGGTATAACATTTTCATGTTATACTGATTCCTATATAGGGGGATCAGCCGCGCTTATTTTTAACCTCTTTGGTTAATACAATTTTTGCATAATACACATTATTTACCAGTTACCATGAAAAGCCAATCAACAAGATTACACTATATCTGCTGGCACCCGCTAATTTTGTGGCTACTCATTAACGGCAGTAAAAGACATATACGAACTCTGTTTCCAGAAAAAGCCACTCCTAAATAGGAGATTGCTCTCTTTGATGCAACTGAAAGCGAAACTTCTTTTTTTCTCACGATTTCTTCTACCTCAAAAGCCTTTCAAGTGCCCATGTAACAAAGATAGTAGATCAACGTAGGCACTGTGCTACTGCAGGAGGTACCAATATGATTGATCTGGATTAAATGTTTTTGCAAGTTCCATTTCCTTATCAGCTTTCAGTGATTATATGTACCAAAAGTTTTATAGAAATAACAGAATGAGAAGAAAGCTGGGTAAGAATCACTGATTCCGTACTTCCCTCCATGTATCGAGAAATAACTTGGGTCTACTATTCTAACTCTGAATATACCTTAAAATCCCGAGCAAGCGCCCCTGCACAAGAAAGGAGGAGAAAGGGCGGTGTCGGGATTTCAATGTGTTCCTCAAAGTAATACACATTCGATCGGCACGAATGTTCCACGAGGTGATTTTATGGGCACCTGTTTTATGCTGTGCCTTGTCTGGCGATATGAAAACATGGAAGTATGAGAGGTCTCACAAAAAAAGAACTGAAGCAGTGAAGACACTAAAATCTCCTATGATGGTCTCAAAAACTCCCGCCAAGACCTTCGCCTGACGATATAAATTAGCTTCATCTTGAAACATTACCACGTTTAGCACCGGGGTGCTCACATATAGCACACCAACATGCTGCCCACTAGATTTCACTCGTGCAACCTCCACTTCACTGCGCTAGTTCTACCAAAACGTGCAGCTGCGTCTCCTGACAGCGAGACCCTGTTGTCATGGCTACCGGCACCGGGGGAAGCGGACCACAAGCATCCGCCTGGACGTGAGCGAGTGAAGGTGTAAAGCCATTCCGTTTTCAATCTCTTCTCAATAGACAATAAAATTTCCTTCACACTGCACGTGATCACAGTCATCTTATTCGCTGTACAAATCTCTAATGTCAGGCACTTTGCAGGTTTCTTTTGACATTTTCACTAGTTACTGCAAGAAGTGTGGAAGCCCCTATAGGCTTCAAAATTTAAATTAATTAGTTTTACGTCATCTCTTCTCTGTCGAAATTGGTCACAACATTCTTTGCGAATTTCAATTTGGAAGCCTCTACAGGCTTCAAAACTGATAACCATCTGATTTTCGGCATCTACATGCTTCAACATCCACTTTAGCAATCAATACTTGACTATGCCTGTGGCACTATACCTAATGGTCAGCTTTTATATTTAAACAAACAAAACAGGCTTACAAAAGAGACAGCAACAGCCGTAAGCATGAATCTAAAAGAAGTGCATGGGTTACCAGCGTATACACAATTTCAACAATAGTAGATACACCATCAATGACAAACCACAGTCCATTCAGACACCATGCCCACTGATTAGCCACAATATTGCCATAGGTAAAAATGATTGAAAAATTGTTTGCAGCTCCATCGTATCGTACAGCTTTAACCTCTGCAAGATATCCAGGTGTTCTTGACAACATAATGACAAACACAGCAGGTTATTCAGGTGCCATGTCCACTAAAACCACAATATTGCAACGGTTAAAGATGATTTAAATGTTGCTTTCTGCTCTCCCATATCATATAGGTCTAACCAATGGGCCTCTACAAGCTTTGCAGGTGTTCCCGACAATAGCCATGCACATGCTAGCCAATGCACGTGCGTGACTTGCGACCTTTTCACGAAATACTTGTCTCGCTTGACAGCTCGTCACATGTTGGATCTTCTATGGACATATTGTAAAAGCTGTCGCTCTGCACGACAGAAAAAATGTTGTCGTAATCGTGACCCATGTGTGGCTTTTCATTGCTTTTATCGAATAAATTACAGAACTATACTTAACTGTTATAACAGCAAAACAAACCTAGTCTTAGTTTGGCCGGCAACTTGACTGTCTTGCGGGACTTAAAACACGTAGCTGAGTGCTGCAGAGCTAGTATGTACTAGACCACAGCATGGGTCGAATTTTATGGTCCAGGCCTGCTCTAAGAAGCTCGAGCCAAGCCCGGGCCAGTAATACTAAGCCCAGGAGCAACTGAGGCCCAGTAAAGCGATGCACAAGTTCGGTAACACTTGGAGCTTAGTCTTTAAGAATCTAGCTCAACAGCGCTAGTACAGTTGCAAACTTGTGAGTACAGTATCGAACTACCCCATTAAACCATGTTTCATCATTTTGAGAATTAGTGAACTACTGGCAAGCATCTGTAAAGCGTAATATGTGCACCTAAAAAGCAGCTCACATTGCTGATGCTCTGGCTGATGATAAATTATGCCCGAGAATTTCTTTAACGGATGGGCCCTCAAACTACCTTTAGAACAAGTTGGAAGGCCTTTAAACTACAATACATTAATGATTAAGTCACACCCCATATGGCAAACTCTGGACCACTCACCTCGCTTGGTGATTCCTTAGACGGTGCGCGGCTGCGGTAGAGCCAGTAACTGGAGTGGGTCACCAAGGGTGCTGTCGCCCCACAGGGACTCATAGTGGCGCGACTGGCACCCGTGTGAAGCCACTGGCGCGAGTCGTAGTGCGTTAGCAGATGCACGTGCGTCGCGCCAGGCACAGGGTCGGGGACGGGCACCACGCGCCAATCAGAGTACATGGAGAGCCCCGGGGGCGCCGCCTCCTGCGCCACGTACATGGGCTGCGGCCGGTAGATGCAGCAGTAGGTGGAGCGCGTGGAGCACTTGAGTCCCAAGTAGGTGTACGCGTGGCCATTAATGTACAACTGCTGACACGTCTTCTTGGGCCGAGGTGTCTCAGGGCTGACGAGAGTGGAGCCGACCAGGGTCGACGCCCCACCACCTAGGGCGAGCGACGTGGGCCTGTTCGCTCGGAGGGGCGGTGCCAGAAGGCTGCTGGTCACCTGAATGGCCGCCGAGCTTGTCACCACGGGCACAGACGTCTGGACCGGAGGCGACAACGCAGGCGGAGAGGATGCCACTAGGGGCGGGAGAGGTGGAAACGCCTGTGCCGAGAGTGGCACCGACGTGACGGTTTGCGGTGGTCCCTGCAGCGATGGTGGTGCCTTGTTGTCGAAGCTCGACGGACCAGGCAGAAATGAGGCGACACTGTTGCTCCTGCAGCTTCCGCCAGCGACAGCGGAACTGCCAGCGACCCGCCCGGTTATCATGTCGTCGGCGGCCCGCGTCGACACAGAGGGAAACGTGAAGCGCGACGTCGCAGCCGAGTGATGTGACGAAAGCACGGGTTCCGATATCTTGCGCTTCTTGGGCGGCGGGTTGGGCGCCTTGCAGTAGTGCTCGAGGTGCACCTCCAGGGTGGCCGCGCTACGGAACCAGATTCCGCACTTTGGGCACGCGGCACCCTCGGCGGCACCGCCGCCTTCACCTCGGTGGCGCAGCAGCAAGTCACGGATGATGCTGCCATCGGGGGTGTCCGGGGGCGACGACACCGATGCAGTGACAACAGATGCCACCGAAGTGACGGCCGGAGACGCAGGAGACGCTGCGAGTACCGCCGACGAAGATGAAGACGTCGTCGCACGCACCAGGGCGCTCTCGGAGACCCTGCGGGGATTCGAGCGACCGCGCATCCCTATCGAGGAAGGGTCAAGGCTCCACTTTCGCGAACTACTGCCTGTGCTGCTGCCGATGCTTCCGCTTCGTGACGAGTCGCTACTGCCGAAGCCGCTGCTCGTGGAAGAACCGTTACTGCTCGTAGTGCTGTTGTGGCGCATGTAGCGCTTGGTCCACAGCGGATCTAGTGTCTCCACTATGGCAGCGTTCTCGGAGATGATCTTGCTGATGTGCTGCTCGAGGATCTGCGGACTGGTCACCTGCGGCCTTGTCGTCGCGGACGGCAGTCCCGGACCGCGAACCAGCACGCTCTCGCGCGGCGGCGCCAGCCTCAGGCCGGCCAGCGTGTCCTCCAGCTTGCGGCCTGGACTGGAGCCGTACACCGTGCTAGGCATGTTCACGTCGCCAATGCAACCGGTAACCGCCACGGGCGGGGTCACTGGAGTAACGACGGGAGTCACTGTGGATGACGAGGAGCAGGCACTCATGATGCCGCTATTGCCATTACCGGACAACGACGTCGAGCCCTTGGGACGGACCGAGTCGCCGCCGCTACGGGAGAGCCTCGACGAGGAAGAAGAGTTCACGACGTCTCTGGTGAGGTCCCTCGTAGGAAAAGAGAATTCACTGGGGGACGATGCGAGATTACAGTCTCTGGAGGTTGCACCCACATCTATCTTGAGCGGGAGGTCTTGGGAATCCCTCGATGATCGGTGCTCCCTGGAAGGCCGGTGAAACTCGTGCGGCGACGTAACTCGGCACGCTCCACCGGGAAGTAAAAGGTCTCTGGAAGTAATGAAGTCAATCTGGGTCAACGACGTAAGTTTAGTGACACAAGATCAATTTTGTTGCGAGTCTTAAGCGATATGATTATACCTCTATACTCATGTCCGTAGGCGCTTCTTCGTCGAGCAATTATAAAATGGTTAGAAGAAATCAAACTTTACTAATTGAGAGATTTGCAATCAAACGTGCCTTGATTCGATTAAGAGTCTTTCTACAGCAGAACAGATATCCCGGTGACAATTACCTAATGAGGAGGCTCCCAGGAAGAGAATTTTCAAAATATTGAAATCCAATCAAATTCCATTAAAAGCTGTTTTAAAGTGACTTGAAGCAACTACAAAATAAAAATAATGCTCAATCGTGTCATCCTTGTTACAGAATGAGCAAAAAGGGGAAGGAGCCAGACCATCTCTATGCGTGTAGTAATTTAGTTATGGAACTCTACAGCATAATTTCGTAAAAATAACTTCTTTGCGTGTTGATCAGAACTTCCTACGCCAAGGGAACGAGAGGTGTCGATATTCGTTTTGGTGAGTGAATAATGTTTTACTGGAGTCTTCAAGCCGAAATACGTCACGTATTATGAGTGCTGCTGTGGAAATAATTGAAAGTACCGGATCACTGAGAGCAGCTTTCAATAGCGTCCACCATTTGATTCCTTTTTATTCCCTTGTATCCCGGAGCCCAGATAAATCTGATTAAATTTATATGAGTTGGGACCAGAAAATAAAACGTGCGTGATAAATACAAATCACTACTGGAGGCGAGCGCCGAACACAAAGATATTGAATCGGTAACTAAGGCCACACTTGAGGCTGGTGGGATGAGCTTTCTTAGTGCCTTATTTCGTGAATGAATTCTTTTTCCTCTATTCCAAATATCCAGTCATTTTTAAAAACGATAGTGTTTTTGGGGACCTTCGACGCAAAAATTGTGGCCTTCCTGTCTGTATGTCTGTACATTTGTCTGTTTGTTCGCCCTTAATGGTACCCTGAACGGCACCAAAGTGCACAAACGATACTCTAAACGGCAGACCCCATTCGCAGCGCCCACCAATATTGCTCAAGATTCAGCATTCAATCTTGTGCGATTGTCACTTAAAAAGCAATTATTGCGCATATCTGAGGTGCCATAACAACACGTCAATATTATGTGTGTGTGTGTCTCTTACTAGAAAAGGCATACATAATTAATTCTAAGGACCGTAGCATTTATCACGTTGCGCTGACCATGCAACGCTTGCACGAAAAGGCAAGTGTTTTCCAGCGCTTTGCTAAGACAACACGGCGGTGGCACCTACCCGTCGCCTTGCGTTCTACACCTTATCACCTCCGAGACGGGCACGCAGGGCGCGCACGCTTCGTTTTCCAAGATAACTGCCAGGCAGCGCTCATGTTTCACGTGTGACGTGACTTGATGCACTCGTTCGCCTCTGCTGCACGCTCGAGGCACTTTAACGCAGCTCCGCCAAAGTACCATTCACCGGTTTTCTTGAGCAGAACATCAAATAAACATTTTATTCACTCTCTCCAGAAGGGTTACAAAAGCATTAAAATTCTTACGGAAAAACTGGTCTTAAGAGACATGTGGTGTCTTATTTCGTTTTTGTCTTTCCTTTTCTACAATTTGCTAAATCTCACTTCCCATTCTCTAATCTTCTTACCTTTTTTGCTCATGACAAGGGTAGCCAGGCGGTAAATGAGAACTGGCTAACTTCCCCGTCTTCCATATCTACTTTCGATCCCCCTTCCCTTATTCCTTTTACTACCTGTACTCCTTTCAGTAGCGCAGGGTGGCCTGACAGCACTGCCAATTAACAGCCCCGTTTCCCCCCTTCATTTCCCTTTTTTAGTGTGCCCTATTCTCCGACAACTTCTTTTGGCCAGATGAATTGATCTATATAGCATTATCGTACATGTATATACGCAGCAAAAAGGAATGCTACAGTGGGGCGCCCTCTACAGTGGCATCTAGTAGGTCTGTCTCTACTGTGCATTGCTTGTGGACGCGCTCACGCTCGACGACCGAGAATCAGGTTGCTGGTCGAGCTACCCGTCGACTATTATGTTAGCGTTCGATAAACACCTCGTAACGATATTCATTTGATGGCACTCGGCGACAATGGGCAATGTTAACAGTCAGGGCCGAGCACGGACTCCCAGTACAAGCAGCGCGTGCTCTCATAAAGGAGCCGAAAAGGACGACCCCCAGGAAGGCACTGGAGAGGACGGCCGTGACAGAATTCCGTATGACAGTTGTATCACAGTAACTGTTCGACAACGTTAAAAAACAACATGGACAAGAAACCATTGCCTTTTTGGCGTTGTCGCGCTGTTACTACGATACAATTACGATGAACCAACCCGCTCAAATTAAGGTCTCGCTGCAGAGCTCTGTGTTTCGTTACAGCCTCTACACCACTAAAGACTCACCTTGACGTCGCCGCTGGGTCCCTGGCGGGCGAGGCCAGGTCTCCGGCGACCAGCAGTCCGCCCTGGAGCATCTCGGTGCATGGCCTGAGCTCCTGTCCGGGCGACGCGTTTCGCGGCACCAGGGGGCCGTGCACGACGGCCATCTTGCGCTTGGGCACGCTGTGTCGCGGGGGCGCCCAGGGCAGCTGGCCCCCCGAGGCGACGGGGGCGGCAGGGCCGCCCCCTTCGGGGCCGTTCATGACGCGGCCGCCTGCCAGCCCCTCTTCACGGGTCAGGAGGGCAGCAATCACCTCCGGCGATCGACGATTCACCGCCTGCATGTGGTGAACGGAAGGAGGAGGTGATTGTACTGCCTAATGAAACGACAATAGCGCATTGTTAAGATTCGGTGTAGGCGCATATCGCCAAGTCGGAAAAGCCTAGAGATAGGCAGAAGGTTATGTTATTGATATCATCAGATTTGTAAGTCTGGATTAGGCAAGCCCATAGCCAGGATTTTTTTTTTTCTGAGAGGCGGAGGGAAGGGGGGGGGGGCATGGCTACGGGCCTGATTCCATGTATGATGGCCAGAGAGGGACGTGTCAGCAACGGCGCGCCGGCGAGGCAACGTTTTTTGTTTGTTTGTTTGACTGTTTGTTTTATTCATGGCCATCGGGCGGCGCGAATGGCATATCGGAGCCGACAGAAGCGCCACTGCATTGCCACTAATATGTGGACCCTTTAAGTATACATCGCTGCAGTCTCTTCAATGGGTAGCGAAACAGCTATTTCAGATGTTGCTGATCTATGGGGCGATGCTCATATTTACTACAAGTCTGCCAGACTCTTCTGTGGACCCACGAGGTGCAAGGTCCACGCGCATGCACGAGACTAGAGAGAACGAACGCTTCTTTTGTGATGGATGCCTGTTAGCTCTTTGCAACACGGCGGTCACCACAGGTAACCTCATTTTCTTCGTTTTTTTCCCCTTTTTAAACACGAGTCCCACGTGTCGAATTTTAATAGACGCATATTTTAAATCATCTGGCAATCTGACAGACATGTTCAATGTGACATGTTACGCTTGCTGTCTTTTGGCTGTCGTCGTCCTCAAAGCGCGCTAGAGGAGAGACCCAAGGTATTTTTTTTACAGATATATAAGTATGCGCTGTTCCTACTATGTTGACAGTGCGTGAACGCATGTTGTATGAGTAGCTAATGCTAAGGACTATAAGAATGAATACCTGTACTATCACCGGAAGTGACCAGTAGGTCTTTACTGCAGGATAGTCGCCTCAGGTGACCACCTCATATCTTCTGAACTGAAATTGCCGACTTTTTTTTCTTGCGAAAAAATCTTTTTCTGCTAAATATTTCACCTTTTTTTTTTTTCAATGAAATTCCGTTTCCCACCAGAAATGAAGTTCTGTGCATGAAAGAGATAAATACTTCTCTGTCAACGTCTTGTTGTTTATGCCGTATTTCGGTGTGACCTGAACCCGGAAACAGTATTCAACTTTCAGAGATTCAACGACGTTATACGAAGCGATACATAAACAGCTTTATGTAGTGTTGTTACGCATCTGGATGGGTTATTTGGACGCGACGCAACGGTTGACTCGAAGGTTGTGAACGACCCCTTCTCCAATCCAACATCTGTGCGCCCCGATACGCAAATGCACATAGCCAACTAGCATATATATATATATATATATATATATATATATATATATATATATATATATATATATATATATATATATATATATATATATATATATATATATATATATATATAACGTACTAGCACCCACACAAGTGAACCAACCAATGTCACGACGCAAAAGCACGTCAGGACGTACCATTATAAACAAGATAAATAATCTCAAACAGGGGAAGAACACAAAGCTTTTTCAAGTTGAAGAGGAGTGTGAAAGTCACGGCATCCGTTAGCAGGATACGGATGATGCTTCGGGACAATCACACACGACGGCTGTAAACTGAAACGAACGCTCGCAGGAAAGAAGGGTTCACAATGGAAGAACCTTGTTTTTCGCGCGAGCCACCATCGTCTATGTATAACGGGTCACCCGCATATGACATCGAATGCTATAGTTGTGCACGATGTCCCTAGCGGCACAAACGTAACAGTTGTTTTGGTGCTGCAGCCGCGACACAAGAGAGAGGTGGGGGATAGGACCTTCAGGGCGACAAGCATGTGTGCGCCGTGCATACGTGTCGCGCAGCCACATTTCGGCGCGGCAGCTGTGCGCGCCCGTCGGAGAGACGCCCCGCCGGCGACAACAGGCCGGCCACGGAGACGCGCACAAACACGCGAGCCAGGCGCCCAAGTGTTGGTCGGAGGATGGCAGGTGGCGGCCACGGTGCGAGTTCGCGAAAAACAACTCGATTAAAAATAGCGCTATAAAGATACCAAATAACGAGGCACTATGGGCAGCGGAGACAAACGTAGAAGCTGTTTTCTCTCGGCTTTGACCTAATTCAACGTGTGACGGCTATGGATGCGTAGGCTTGCGCACACCGAGGGGTGATGCAGGCTTCAATGTTGCGACGGGTGATATATTGCTATGCTGCTATCCTCTGTAGAAATCACACTGAACGCACTGTCGCCCGGTTCCTCTACCGCCACCTTTTCGTTACGGTCTAAGCGACGTCGATCATACCTCTGAGAGCACTCGACTACAGTACTTGCCCGGCTGCTACCAGTTCTGGCTAACGTTTCCCAGCTGTTGGCTAATGTAAGCTATAATGAATTTCCCGCCAATACGACAGAGGTGCTATTTTGAGCATGCACAGTCAGATTCCGCCATTTCGTCGCGTTCCATAACGGCGGCAGGATTTCGAACTGGACAACATGGTGGCATACGGCAGTGTTCCAGAAGAGGAGGTACGAATCGCAGCTCGGCTATCTAGCCGCTTCTTAGCAGCTAGAGGTCACGTGACTTGACGGAAACGTGAAGTTCTACGTCATACAACTACCACCGAATTTGAATTAAACGCAAGCTTCGGCGTTATGTTGCATGAATATTGCCATTTTGCCGCTGTGAGTGCTTCGCCTGAGTTCCGTATTCCTGGGGGGGGGGGGGGGGGAATCTACGCCATGCTACTTCGTGGTTCTCGCCAGGATAACCAACTCCGAGGCGCTTCGCGATACTCGTCAAGGTATACAGCGACGCGATGTCACAAGTGATCACGTTATTAAGAGGTATAAGTAAACTGTCCCTTCCAGAATTGCACCCCACCACCTACGGAAAATGCTGGCTAGCATCAGCTAATGTTGTTTATCTCTGTAATAAGCCAATATTGCAGTCATTCAAGCTCACTTGAAGAGTTAAGTCGTATACCGTTTTTTTTTTTCCTGATGAATATTTGCTCTGTTTGGTAGCCAGTTGAGAGCCGACGTAGTGCGCGGAGCTTTTCCCCCAACAATGAATGCAATTATTCACGTGAGCTACAATGCCAGGCGGTATTTTTCCTTTAAAACAAAAAAAAAACCGTTTAAAAGCACGTGTATTAGAAGTTGACCTTCGTGTTATCTCGGGAAAGCGATCTTTGTGCAGGTGCGTCTTTTGTGCCTCGTTTGTCATTGAGAAAACGCAGTGTTGTTTTTATTTAGTTTTAAACCGTCCCTCTCATTATATATTCCTGAAACTTTATCACTTCGTAAATATGTGCAGTACCATCAACTTTTTGTTGGAGATATAAATTAGGCAAATTCAGTTTACCGGTAACAAATGCTTCACGTAAAACAGCGTTATCATAGGCGGCGTCACCTGTCACAAAAAAACAAAGCAGAGAAAAATGGTGATAAATCATAATAAAAAAGGCTGCTCTTTTTAGACAACGTAGGTGAAAAGCCGCGGATAAACTGCCGGCACAGCCAATATTCATGAGTATGCATATTCAGTCGAGTCATATTCACACTGGTCGCAGTCACGGCTCGTACAAGCAAGTCAGTGAAAAAGAACGAGTGACTAAGAAAGTGTGAACACAACGCGGGCGCTCATGTTGTGGCCACCATTTCTTAAGGCCTGACCACACGTACCCGTCGCAGCGCGTCGACGCGTGTCTTTCTGACGCAGCGTCAAGCTCTCTCTCATAGAGAGAGAGAGAGGGAGAGAGCGGCTTCACATAGCTACAGGGAGAAGGCGCGGTGTCAGAAGGCCTCGCGCTGCGACGGATACGTGGGGTCAGGCCTTTAGTCACTCGTTCTCTTTGCACTACGCTCGGAGGCAGTTTCGCAGCTGCTGCGCCAGTTGTCACGTGATCACTAAAGGCGGTTGCGAGCTTTGTGCTGGGCGGAGCCTACACGCCGCGACGGCGCTTACCGCTGTTCACAAACATGAAATAGGTCTACTCCCGGCTACGAATGCTTACCGTAAAACTTGCTCATTTCTCAATCCCATTCCAGCCACGGTAGTCTAGTGGTTATAGTGATAGACTGCTGATCCACCGGTTGCGGGATGGAATTCCGGCCACCGCATATGCTATGGAGGCTAAGTGGCTTGAACCCCGTGTACTTAGACTTAGGAGCACATTAATATGGAACCCTATGTGGTGAAAATTTCCGGAACCCTTCACTACGGCGTCTCTAATAATTATATCGTGGTTTTGGGCGTTAAACCCCAACAAGTAATTAATCATATTCTGCTCAGTCGCATCAAAAGTGTACGCTACAAAAGAGGGAGCTTGAACTGCAGCAAGTACCACGGGGGCTCAGGATAGCAAAGCACAACGAATGCATGTCCCTTTATTCACTGTAAATCTTGGTACAATGTTTAAGTGGTGCCAGCGTTGTGAGCGCCTCAGCGAAACCAATGCGATGGTCTACACGTCGAATATGATTAAAACAGAGGGGAACCACGAAGCACAAAGAAACAAAACGACAGGACAGGCTGGCACTTGCAAATGATCAAAAGCATGTTTGAAAGACTAACTTACAACCTTCAGCAAGCACCGTGCGCCTTGGCGACCACCTAGTGCCTCAGCGAATGCAGGTGCGATCTTTCGCCTCCTACAGTGGGCTACATAGTATATATATGCTCCGTTTCGTAAACCATTTTCTTCTATGGACATGGGGATATTTTCCGTAACAACCTGCGTATTTCGATATTCCAGTCATTATGTCACGTTAACCGTGTTGTGTACGTTATTAGGCAGTCTACTTTAATCTTGGGTAGCTATTAGTTTACGATAGGCTAACGAAATCTTTGCCTTAGCGTTTGTCGACAGTGCGAATACGTCATGTATATGCTTAGCTAACCTTTTGGGTGCGCGCTTGTGTGTTCCGAAAACAGCGAAAGTATTGTAAGCA